ATCCCGCTCGGCCCGGTGCTTCTTTTTCGTCCTCTCGTAATTCGCCGTGGCGAAGCTGCAAGCGCCGCGACCAGCTCGATGCACAGGCAGATACGACCTTTTGCAAGATCGGCCTGCTCGTTCTTCAGGGATAATAAGATCAAAAAGCCGTCACTGATCCACCGGTGGAAAGTTCCCGGTATCCGCCAGGCACATCCTCCCCTTTCCTCTGTACAGGGTGCTTCCATGGTTCAACGTGTTACTTTGTATTTTTTCGAGAACACGACTGCGATGCATATTAAATCAAAAAATATCTTCGTTCGTCGACCTACGCGCGTTATATAATTTCCTCATTGCCAGTTTTTCAATTAAACGTAACATGATTTGGAGTTGAGACGCAAAATCAAAATCGAAAAGTTTACGAGCAAACGTACGAATCACTGTTAATGCTATAAAACTCGAAACTGGCCATTATTAAAGCTCGTGCAAATTTGCTGAAAAGTTTGACTGTTCCGTGGTACAACTTTGACGTGTCTGTTTGTGCAAAAAGCTGCAAGCTCATCGGACAACATCAAAGCAGGTACCGATGAGCTTACAAAGCGGCAAAGGATGGCTAATACTGCGACCTTCCCATCCTGCTTGGGTTTGCCTCGTCATTTCGACCGCTTCTTTCACCTGAAAAGCCCGAACGTTTGCTTTGAATTTAGTTTGAAAACTAGCTTCCAATTTTTCTAAAAGCGAGAAAATTCCCGACGAATTTCACAAATTCAAAGTCAACGAAGTCAAAGAAGCGAATTTTGTAACGCAAAAATATTTTACCAATTAAACCAATTAACTTTAATTTGAACTAGAAGCGAATCGCGAGAAGTTTAAACAAGCGCGTGTACAACTGGAGTCGGAAAAAAAAATGGCTCGTCTACATTGAAGCAAGTTCGGGTTCAGCAAAAATTCCGTGGAACCAGATTACAGTAATTACCTGCCAGTGAGAGCAACAGTTTCATTACGGATAAGGCCGCGTGCATCCGGTGTCTCTTCCTCTCCGTCTCTGTTTCTCGTCCGCTCTAAAAGTATATTTCCAACGAAGGAACTGTCCCCGCTGAAGCTCGGTTCGCGTGTGCATTCGCTGCCCTCCGGAGAAATCGCATTATCATGCGTCAACGTACCAACCTACGTACGTGACTATATGAACCTTCGAACGCCACTGCAACGGATGCTGCGATGGAATTTTAATGAGATCTTATACCTCTTCGCTGGGAATTTAATCGAGCTCGTTGCGGACCATGATCCGCGAAACGAATCATTGTTTCGGGAACGTTCGATGGATATCTAGAAACAATAACAGAGATTTTTGATAAAAATTGTTCGTATCACTTGGAGAAAGATTTTTAAATTTTTGAAGATGATCAAGATGATTTAATCGCTTGAAAAAATTAAGTTTCTAATTTTCGAGATAGAAGTAAATAAAAAATTGCACTTCAAAAGTGCATCGGTCGTCGAAGAATTCAATGGGTTTTGAATAAATACAGATCTTTTCGTACGTGATACATAATTTTGGATGTTAATCGTATAAAATCCTTCCATCCTTTTCCAGGAATGCAATTGAAGAATTTTTACAATTTTGTTTCAAACGAGACCGAAATAACGAAGGAAAAATTCCATTTTCCGTGAGATTTTGTTGGAATTGGTGGGTGGTCGTATATGTTCACGTACATGTCCATTCGCGACGCGAATTTGCGTGGCTTTAAAGTACTTCCACCGGTCCAATTTTCCACAAGAATGTGACACGTAGCAATCTTGGTAACCTCGGGGCCCCGGTGTGCGATTTATTGGCTACCGAGTGTACCTTCGACGATTTATCTTCTTCCCTACCCCCGTCCCCTCCTCCCTTTCTTCCTTATTTCCTTCATACGGCATTCTCGTTCTCTCTCACGATCCCCTTTTTTTTTCTTTTCTTTGTTTCACCGCCACCTTTTGCTCGTTTCTTCTCCGCGTCTTCCTGCTCGTTCTTCCGTCTGCTCGTCCTCATTTTGCTCTTAATACACCCTAACCCCTTTGTCTTTCGTCGTTTCTATCTCGCCAACTTTTTTGCCAGTTTCTGGCTTTCGTTTCTTCCTCCTCTTCATTCCTTTCTTTTGTTTCTCATCTTATTCGCGATTCCTTTCAATTCATTCCGACTGTCTTCTGTTCTCAAAGTTTTACTTTGCTGCTATTCGAAAGCCCTATTTACACGTGTTTCATACTTTCACGCTTGTGATCTTACGTTTCTTTTTCTTTTCCTTTTTTCTTCCTTTATACAGAAGATTTTCATTTGATGTAAAAGGAAAAGGATCAATCATCGTAATAATTTTTGTAATGATTTCTAAAATTTTCATTGCAGAATATCGAATCTGAACTATCGTTTAGGATTTTCTCTAAAAACGACGAAACGCTCAACTAACCCCGACAGGAACTGCTAATTACCGCGAATTACGCTCGCAATTCGCTCCCCCTCGCCTTGCTGATGAAATATCAAAGGTTGGATGCAATTTACGTTTGCCCCGTTCTTACCTGTGCCCTCGTTTGGTCGACGTTTCGACCGCCATTGGGGAAACGACAGGAACAAGGATTCCCAGGTGCACCGTCGACCGCTCTAATTAAGGTATCACCGCGATTAAGGGCTTCTAATTGTAGATCTCGATAAAACTACCTCGCTGTGAAAGAACTCGAATAGTCTACGGGGGTGTAAGTTGGTTCGTTAATGGATCGGCTAACCGTTTCGGATCTTTCCAACATCAATTCTATTTTCATCATTTATTATCCATACGAAAAATATGATTCTGTAATATAATTTATTTCAGAAACTTCCTATTGATTTAAATATTTTTTTTTTTTAATTAATTGGAAATCGTGTTATTTTATGTGAAATGTTTGAGGATTTCTAAACGTCACAAAGTTTACTATTATCAATGATTAATGGTTTAGAAATTTTTTAACAGAGTCATATATTATTTTTCTGAATAAAAAAGCGAAATATTATTAATTTTCTATTTTGAATTTTCAATAGTATTTAAAATTTAAATCATCTGTCCCAGGTTCACTTTAAAACACCTGTGTCAGTGAATTTTTAGGCTCTTTTCTCGAATCACTTCAGTTGCCCGTTGATTTGAAAAGGAACTCTTCTCGTCTCGCGTCGATAGTGACGCGAATTCCGAAAAATTCTCCGAGCGGAGAGAATTACAGGCGGAGCATTGCTCGCAGCCACCTCCCGGAGGATTCGAAAGAGCGGCGAGGCGCATCGTCGGTTGTAAAAATAAGAAAAAATAAGAAAAAAAAAGGAAGGAGAAAAAGGAAAGAAAATCGGCGGTCTGCAGGTGTAACGCCCGCAGCGACCAGGTGATAAAATGCACGCGGACTTTCGATGCGAAGAGGGCCGGAGAAACCTTTCGCGATGCCTGGGGCTCGATAAAAAATGCAGTGATCACGTTTCGGCAGAGACTTTGGAATCTTCAATCTGCCCTCGCCTTCTTTGATTCACGCTTCTCACCCTCGTGTTTCGCCTCCCTCGATCAAGGGGATATCGCGGTGCAACGTCGAGAAATATAAATGACGAAAAAAACGGATGATGTTCCTTGGCGCGTCGAGAGAAAATTAGGGTAGCGGTGAAAAATTGTCCCTACTGCGATGGTTAACGGTATCCCGGCTTTCTCAAGTCGCTTTATGATAATTTGATTGAGACAAGTTGTAGGTGGAATGGGGATAATTGTCGGTTGACGTTGAGTTATGGGGGAAGTTGATACTTTTCACGTAGCACTGCGGATTAATAGCGTGAGATTTTGTTAATTTTCACTCGTGATAGAATATCATTTCTAAAGAGCGCGAAATGCTTTCAATTTTTCATTTTATTCTCTGTTATACAAAAGCTTTAAATAACCCGAGTACTTAATTGAAAAATAATAAGAATATTTTCTGAATACCTTTAGCAGCGTTTTAATTTTTGTTTGAACCGTTTTCAAGAATCTGTATTTATTTTTGTGGAAAATTTCGAGCCAGGCTAGTTTAAAGCAGGAAGCGAACGACGGTCGGCTATGAGATGCAAATTGAAGTTCGATTAAAGTTTTATAGTCTTGCGAGTTGCTAGATATTGAAATGAAGTATCATAAATTTCGCGCCCGATGCGTTTACAGTTCTATTTTAAATATTCATGAGCGACGAATTTTCAGTCGCTTTGCGTGTAAATCGTTTTTAAAAACAAAGGAGAGGGCAAACACGTGATATCGGTGTTTTATCCGTTTCAAATATCGAAGCGCCACAGTCGTATAATATCGAAAGGCACTACTGTTGAAAAATATTTAACGACGTTCCGTTTCCTGTCGCGAAAAAGCTCGTATTGTTCTTGATGCTGTGAAAAGAAGAAAAAAATGTCGTTTTATTTATCGATTCCCTTCTGAAACACCGCTGTAATGGCGAAATATCGTTCGAATAATACAGAAGAGTTGTGTACAGGAACGAATGGAAGTTAAGTGAATACGCGAGTACCATTGTTCTCGATTAAAAGTTAAGTTGATAATCGACCTGATTTGTTAATTTGAAAACGCGATTACCCAATCGCGGATCCAACCTATTCAGACTGCATAAAACATGGAGTGCATTTAATGCATATTCGAAAGCTCGAAAATGCATTTCATTGATAGTCGATTAAACTCTCGTGTAGTTTTACAATTACCATTGTTTCTCGATATTATCATCCTTTTCTTCTTTTTGAAATAATTAATCTCCTCCGATACAATTTTCATTTGAATTTTATTTTTGAATATATAGAAAAGAGGTGTGGTTATCAACCAAAAACTTATTGTTATCGTTAAATTATAATTTATACAAGCTGAAGGCAGCATTGAGAACGAATCGGTCTTTCTCACGCGAAATCTTTTATTCGTCACGAGAACGTTTCCGGAACAGCGATCGAAACGAGTCGAACTCAAGAAAAAGAACATTTCCCATACGATGGTTGTTCATTGAACGCAATCAATCGTTTTACTCCGCAGCTGTCGGCAATATCGAGGCTGTAACCGGCCAATAGGTCTCGCGTCGATGAGATCGAAGCAGCGGGATACGAGCTGAAAACGCGCGACGGCTCTCGTTGAAGGCTACTTAAAACAACCGTTGAGCACTGGTCGCAGTGCTCGAATTACCAACAACAGGTGGCTCACAAGTAAGTACTGGCACCCTCGATACGAATCGACATCGTTCGCCCCCATTCGAACGGTAGCCTTTGAGCTTTTTCGCTTTTTCTCTTTTCTACTCTGAATCGCAAAGTAACGTTCTTTATTTTTTATCGATTCAAAATTTAAGTTATACTTCAAAATTTATTTATTTAATTCAAAAACATTTCATAAATGAGTAAAGAATAAATTTAGAATCTTTTTACAAATTGAATAAAAAATTCCCATTATAGGATAATGTATACAGTTTTATTGACCTCTATATAATAATTGACGCTTTTTCTAAAAAAGCAGAAAATATAATATAATGCGTTTCTTTTATAATAAACTATAATTCGGAATAAAAAGTATTCGAGGTATGAGATACAAAAGTAAATTAAAATTGTGGCTCTCTCTAGGGTTCACTGTCTTGGGTCTCTCTCCATGGTCCTCGAGTTAAAAAATGCATTATATTATATATTTTTCCTTTTTTAGGAAAAAGATCGATCTTTGTATAGATGTCAACAACTGTATACGTTATCCTACATTGAATTTAATAGAAATATCTTTCGAAAATCACGAACAGTTGAAAATACACGCAGCTCCGTCAATACGAGCGCAACGTCCGTAACTCCGGGCGGCTTGTGGGAGTGCAGCAAGTGCCTGGACGAAATGCGGCTGATGCAGAGGTTAGCGATCAGCGGACTATTGTCCGTGATACTGATCGTTCTTCTGACCGGCACATTCGTCACACGTCGCGACCTCGCGAACGTCGTCGAACGTGGTTCAGCGCCCGAGGAGCGCGTCGAGCAATTGAATCCCGTTTGGATGCAAAACAACGTGATCCCCGGACAGGATGAGCCGAAAACCGAGGATAAGGATCGACGCGTGAACTTCAAACACAGACAGTCTGAACCATCCGCGGTCGGACCCCCGCCGGTTCCCGTACCCGGCCCCTACCTCATTAAACCGCCTAATCCACCTTTGGACGACGTGACTAATCAGCGTCGCGAGAAGATCAAAGAGGTAAGCTCCCGATGCGCCTTCCCATTTTCTCTAATTATTGAAATACATTTTGGAAGTTGTCGTCTAAAGCTGATACAACCGGGTCGTTTGATCTAAATTGCTCAAATTTACCTGGCTCCGATGATTCGTGCAGATATAACGAGCAAACTGAATTGATAATACTGTTTTCCCAGAAAATTATTATAAAATTATATATAAAATTGAAGCTACATAAAAATGGTTTTATCGATTCAGTTTTGCTCCTGAAATGGTTTACTGTAAAATATTATTGTAAGTATGCATTTTGATTTAATGTCTACAATTAGTTTCTTTAACAAGGTCAATACGAAGAGGTAAGTCTTTAAGAAAATTTCTTCTTCCTTGAATTTTTGTTCAAACGATCGGATAAAGGTAAGTAATCTCGGTGCTGGATTTTTGCTCGTAACAGGCGTAATCCCTGAACGCGTACCACCCAGTGTAGCTGAAATTATCCGTCATTTCGTGATGCTGTAATTGAAGCCTTGCAGCACCTGGAAACGTTCATTTTGGATGCTGTCAGTGATTTAACGATTACTTAATTCCGTGGCTCGGGCTTCGGTATCCTGCTGGCCTTTTCAGAAAACTAGCAATTCAATGTTCAAACAGAAAACCTTTGCCATTTTAGATGAAATTATGAGCACGCGACAACGATGAAATTTTTTTTTGAAAAGTAAATAATTTTATCAATTTTACGCGTTGAATATTAAAATAGATAGGATAGATTCGTCTTAAGTATAAACACGCTCACCTTTGAAAGGAAAATAAATTGAGCGAATTCCGGGATTCCTATGCGGCGATGAGATGGCGAAACGTCAAACTTTATCCGTTCAAAGTCGAAGTGAAACCATTCCTTCGTAATTAATTTATCAAAGAGCAATAAACTGGATATCCGCGTTAATTCTGTTCGCGTAGCAAGATCCAAGCGATAATGAATCAATCACATTAAGACCCTTCGAAACTGCTGGAACGATTATCTCTTTGAAAGTTGCTTTTCCTACTCTTTCCCTCTCTCTCGCGCTCTTATCCTATGGCTCTATTCTTGTAAATCTATTTCAACTGACCGATTATCGTCCTTCGTATCAATCCCTTTTCAACGATGAATTTCTCTGTGACTGCGGCTCGGCTGACAGAATTTGTTTAAATTAACAAATGGAATCGAACGTGGGTCTGAATAGTTTTTTACCATCAAAAGGTTTGATATAAAAAAGAATCATTTCATGAATTAATTGTGACGAATAGAAAAGAAAAGTGAAGAAATTGATAAAATATAAAAAGTTAAGTTAAAAATGACAGTAAAATTTTGATAGATTCAAAAAGTGAAAGATTTAAATATAAAATTTTGCAAAGGAGATAATAGATGCTTAAACTATTGTATAGAAATTGAAGAAAAGGGAAGAAAAATTGCGAACGATGAAAATATCGAATGTGACATATAATATGTGACGAATAGACAAATATAGCGTAGCTTCCTTGATTTGGAATTTAATCGACTTCTGCTCGATACCCTGTATCCTGCTGGGCCAGACTTTATTGAAGAACGGTCAACCGTGCTATTATCCAGTTTATCGAACCGATTTATTTGCCCCTGGCGAATGCAGTCGTGCCTCGTATCTCTGGAACGCTTCTGAAATGGTAACTGCATAGAAAGAAAGCTTCCTCCTCGATTGAATTCGCGTACTTTTATCGAATTGTTCTACAGAACGAAAGAAAAAGTATGAAAGTCCCGAAGAATTGTACCAATACGAACGACAGTGGTATTCGATAAAACGGAAGAAAGAATAAGGATTATTTTAAGATAAATAAAGATTAGAATCACGAGTTATTACGTTTCTATTCTAAAATATCAACGGTTCGATGATGAATCCTGTCTAGTTTCCCATCTAACACCATCCCATTTTTACGATTGTTGAATATAATTAGTTCAGTAATTGGATCTATAGGAGCACGGTCGCGTTGCTACGAATTCACCGCATTAAACTCGCTCATGGTTTCGAAATGTTCAGGCCGAGTTATGTAGCGGGCTTATACGTCTCTCGCCGAGCAAGGTACCTACATATCGTTCATTCCGAACGAAGCAATTTGCTTTGCGAGTGGACTCGCGTAATTCACGAAATGGGTAAACCGCGTTCGAAATAGATCTCGATTCACCGTTCAACCTGATGACGAACGGGTATAAAAAGAAACTGAACATCTTCGTACGTTTCCTTGCTTTCGTTCTTTCGTTACAAAATTAATCAAAGTTCTATGTAAATTTCTTTTCTGTGACATTTCTGAAATAAAACAGAAACAAATTTGCTTCCGTTAATATCCGGAAGAGCATTAATCAACCATGAAATACGAGCATTTAATTAAAAATGTCTTACTAGTTTGTTAACCCTCGGACAGCGGACCATGGAGAGAGCCCTCGTTCCTCTAAAAATTATTCTTCCAATATACGAAACTCTTTCATTTAAAAATTATCAATGTAATTTTAGGTTAATATCGTTGTATATATTTTGTAAGTTCAGGTCTTAATTGACCCGGGCTCTAATTAAAAGTGTAAGGTTTAATAACCCATCAATTTCCTTGTAATATCCGAGGCAAAAGTTGCATCCATGTTGCCGTTAGGAACGTTAACCAGTCTTCGAGGTGGATTTCTCGCCAAACGTCTCTCTAACTCCAAAATCTTGTGTAACAGGGCTCGAATGGCGTCAGAATCGATTCGGCACGACGTCGATCTGATTACACGGGCCGAGCAGCGAGTTGTTACTCAAACGATCGCTAATCCAGTCGTATTAGGGATCACGCTTTAACGTTGCCTCTAATTATCGGCACGCACGCGAATCGTGTATACTAACATCGCACGCTGGCTGAGAATATACCGGCTCCAACACCATGGAAAATCCATAAGCCTCTAGTCAGCCAATGAACTAGAGTAATGAGATCTAAAGCCAAGGCTTAAAATTGTCACCGAGTGATCGTGGAAATTTTATCTAGATTTTATTGAAAATCATTCGGCTCGAAAGGTTAAATGAAAAAGAGATACGTGTATGGTTTCAAAGGAAGAAAAATCATTGAAAAAAAAAATAAAGGATCTTCTTCGATTCTGATTACCATTTCCGGTCTCCCTTGGACGATGACGTTCGAACGAATGCACCTCCCGACAAAGTCGCATTGTCCGTTGGATGAACGGGTTTGGCACAATGGAAGCGGTTCCTTTTAATGAGACGTTGGTTAAGGGAGAAACGATAGACGGCGGAAGGGACGGACACAGAAGAAAGGGTGGGGGTGGGGTATAGGGTGTTCCGTAAATCGTGAACCCTGCCTGGCTAATGAGAAATTCAGTGAGGCGTGCTGGAAGGTTAGATGGAGAAAGGATGGACGATGGTGTGTGGGAATGGTGTTTGATGCTGTATAAAAACAAAACTACTGAGTATTTCATGTAATGCATGGGAATTGAAATTTCAATGAGCCTACTCAATTTTACATTTCATTTATATTAATACAACGTGAATGTAAAAAAATCAAATATGCAGTTTGTTGGATATTAAAATTAATTTGAAAATTGTCCAAAAATGTTTAGTAGAATTTTGCATCAAATGAAATAAAAATGGGAAAAATTATCAGAAATATATTCCAACGTAACAATACCATTTGAAAAAAATGTCCTCGACCGGCATAATCGTTTAAGACCATCCAAGATAAAATGCTTCACTTCCGAAGGACTACGTCCTCCTCCTCCTCTTTTACCAACCCTTCAACTTCCCAGCCGTCCAACACACTCTCTGTATCTCTGCTCAAAGGCCGAAACACGGCTAAGGAACAGAAGATAGAAATCGTCGCGAGCATTGCGAGAACAGCTTTCATTCACAGATCAGAGAACAAGATGGCTGAAAGCAAGGGGATGAGGGTGTCGGTCGTCAGGCGAAGAATAATTCACGCTATTAGCCTGAAGCGGCACAATGCGAGCTCGACCCATGACAATAAACAAAGACATAATTATAGTATACCTCCGAAGGGTCGTTATCGTCGGTGTAGAATTCCGGTCTCCTTGTCTTTGCCTTTTACCCTCCTCCGTCCTTCTCTCAAACAGCCCTTGTCTGTCATATGCAGTCAATCTTCAGGCAAGAAACAGGTACCCTAAGCACCGTACAATCCCTTGTATAGTTGCTGTAAGAAATATAGTATAGCCGTAAAATTGATCAAGTGTGAAAAAGTGTAAAATTGAAAGATGAGGAACTCGAGTTTTATTAAGGGTCATTGGCACCTTTCCCTAAAAAATCTTCAAAAATTATTACACGTTATGGTTGAGTCTAGATTAGGTTACACGATGGAATCTCCTTTCTTGACCTTCCCTTTTCCTATTTGAATCGTGTTCATCACTGTACCATGCAACTAAGAATTATAAAAAGTGTCTTTCAATATATTTGTCGCGACTGTAACAAATTGTAATTTTTTAAAACGACAACAGCGCATATCTTAGTAGATTAATTTGTATAGCTTCTCGAGAAACCTCAAGTCATTTGGTTCAATTTTAAACGAGGCATTCTGTTTTAAATGGTATACAAATACTTTTCATAGCTTCTGAAAAAATCTCAAGTCATTTGGTCTAATTTTGAAAAAAGTATTCTGTTTTAAAGAGTGTTCAGTGACTTATGGACGACAGTGTATATTAATAAATATCTGTGCATGTTTAATTATTTAGTTTACGATCTGACTACATCGCTTCCACTAACTATACCCATTTTAGGTGTCGCCTGTACATAGTGTTAGGCGTCTAAGACGCGTGGAATTTCGTGAGTCGTCCTTGTGCCACGTTCCCATGGTGTTACCGCTCTCACGTCCCGTGTGGACAGGATGAATACATACGTGTTTCACGTGTTTCCTCGTTGCATAGTGGCATTCTTGAGTTGCCTGAATAGCGTAGGAATTTTAGCAAATCCTCTGCAGCGCTTCAGCACTGATAGTATTTTACAATTGATTCACGAGATATCATGGAATAA